GCGTGGCTGCTGGTGTGGGCTATAGAGACTCAGGGTTGATCTTCCTTCTGGCTTCACTACCATTATGGAGCTGGGGCTGCTTGCCCCAGAACTAGTTCCTTTTCCAATCCTTTCTGCCCCTTTTCCTGCTGTGGAAAGGGCCCAATGCACCTTCCCCCAGCCTGGGCTGCATCTTGCCCAGCAGAGCCTGTATCTCCAATCCTGCCTGGTTCCTTTCTTGCTCAGAGGAGAGGGGAAGAACCTCCAATCAAACTGCGCTACGGGGCGAACTGCACTCACCCTACAGAGCCAGTCAAATTCCCCAAAGAAACACTCACTAAGGGGTGAAGCAGGAGGCACAGAGACTTCCACTTGCTTCTGGCTTTCTCAGTCCAGCTCTCTCCCAGAAGCCTGCAGGGACACCAGCCATTGCAAACGCCTCAGAGGGGAATGCAAAGCCGAGGGGACAGCTCCTCACAAGGCAAATGCAGCCCCTGGGACATGACTGGGGATTAGATGGGCACATTATTAACCCAAATTGTTAGTGAGCCATTTGATATAAGGTCTTGAATTTTCCTCAGAAAAGTTCTGCAGCAAGGAGACCTGGCTGAGCCACCAGGGAGGCAGAAAAAACTGGCAGGAGCTTCAAAGAGCAGGGCATTCTCCTGCTGCCAGTGACTGACAGGTCCGGTTCTGCTCCCACACTGCAAACAGGCTTACGTGTTCATTGTATCAGGTCTGTGGAAATTAGCACGCAGAAGTGACATATCTATCATTTTTCAAATTAATTTCCAATGAACACCTGGTACAATTACCCTCAAGCTTCGCCACAATAATTCTCCTTTGGTAGAACACAATTTGTGAAATTATATACAGAATACTTTTGTTTCTCTGAAGTTAGGAAAGAAATTGTATCCAAATGAGGATTATGAAACAGAAAAACTAGTTACAATTTTAACTACGGAGTTGCTCCTGTCATTCTGTAATATGTGAATCAACTTCCAAAAACAAACTAAGTATTTGATGGCAGAAAAAAAAGAAGACAGTATGAATGTCTCATCTACTAAAAATTAGAAAAGTAGATATTTATATTCATCTCAGTTTGAAAGAAAAATGAGACTTCTATATTTAATATCCTATTTTTTAAAAGTGAGTATAATAAAACACAAGAGGATAAAAATACTGTGCGTGTTCTCAGGTACTAATGAAATATCTTCACAGGAGGTTAATTATTCTCATCCACAATTACTGATTTACCATAAGTACAAGATTTTTATAACAACGTTGACTCAAGGCAAATTGTATCAATGCAATTCTAGATGATACCCATGAGTACAAAGTTTAAAACATGACTTACTCAGCTGGGATTTTTCTGTTTGCTTATACATTACTCAAAAGGGAAATTGTTTACCAGTAATTGGACTTTTCTAAAGCTAGTATCCTCTACAGACCCACATTCAAAAGATTTCAGTCCCTTAGCAAAGGAACAGACTAGGAAGTTAATACTGTAAAATTGAGAACCTTGATTGGAAAGAATTACTGCATTGTCTCAGGAATATGCATATATATATGTACATACCTTAGTATATAATGATCTACAATAATCTAAGAATATAAAAGAATAAACGCAGAATCTCTAATCTCTGAGAAGTAGAAGTGTGGTTCCAATGGTGAAACTATATTTAGAAAACATCAATTACAGAAAAGCAAACTCCTTTTCTCAAAAGATAAGTATCCTCTACAGATATATAGGTCTCTTAATTAATACACTCAAGTCAAAACTGTAACAATATAATAGGAACAAAATTAAGAAACGATCAACTAAGAGCACAAAAACATAAGATGATCTAGTTGTAACAAAACTAGTATAATAAACAAGAGAAAAGCTGGGTTTACTTTTAATTAATACTTTAATCAAGTATCCTGAGATTTATTCTTACTTTTTGTTCAGTCCTTCCTCAGGCAAATTTCCACTGATTTCAATGGAAGTTTGACAGAGTTAGGACTGAAAAACAAATGAGTAACAACTGAGGAGTTTAGGATTTGGACCAAAACCTTTGCAGATGCTTTTCTTACAATGAAATTGCTACTGGAATGATCCAAGTTCCAACTTAGCATATTAATGGCATGATTCAAAGTCCACTGAAATCAATGGGAGTCTTTTCACTGACTTCGATAAACCTTAGATCAGCCTTTAGTCCAGTCCTTAAGTGGAAAATTATTTTTCCCCCAACTTGGGCAAAGTAAAAAATTGAGAAATAACAAACTCTAAATGAGTTGTGTGCTATGTGACCAGTGTATTTTTCTTAACAATTTAAATGGGAGTCATTAAACCAGTGGAAATGGTTATCCAGACAAATCCATGTTTCTGCAAACTCAAATAACCATACATGTACTATTTCAACTGTTAGACATTAAAACATTAACTACATGTGTTTATATGAATATTTGATCCATTATGACCACTCAGAGTATTAATACCTCCTGATATCATGAAAAAGTGCCTCAAGATGCATATTTCGAAGAAATACACTGGTGACTCTTTTTTCTTTTTAAAATTAACATGGAAATTAAATGCTAAAATTATATTACGACAATATTATGACTGGGATTTTGTTTGCTCTAGCCATAAAATTCAATGTTATGGTTCCCACAGCAATTGTAACTTGGCCATATTACACACACTGTATATATTAAGATGTTCATGTCAATGGTAGAGGAAGTGAGCAGTATATGCAACATAACTCGGTGCTTTTTGTTGATTTTTTTTTAAATGTACAATCATTTTCCTTCACCACTTATGTATATTACTGAATTAAAGCTGGGAAGAAATAAGAAACTTTTAATGTGATTTTAGTAGAAATCACAGAAACCCATTTCACATATTAAAATATGGCCATTTATCCAAATCTGTCCTTTGTGCTCCCCTCTTATGGGCTCTCCAGCAGCTGTTAATTAACAAACATTATCACCAGAACTGTGGCTGAGTTCTCACAAGTCATGGGGGCAGTGGCATAAGTAACATTTAGTTTGCTGATGTCCAAAATAAAGTATCATCCACCCTTTGGCATTCTCTCCCCCCTACTTTCTCCATCACACACACAAAAAACCATTTTAAGGTCATTTTAAACTACACTAGAAAAAAATCTGTATTACAAACTAAGTAAACTTTAATGGAAAATGCATTTTATTTTCAAGACATTTAACTATAGAAACAATGTCATATTCTAAAATATGTGACAATGTTTATTTAAGTACTATAAGGAGATATTAGCGCAGGGGCAAGTACAGTTTCTTCTAGTAGATTAGCTGCAAATTTCTGATTTACTGCATATTTCCAGCCAATTTCACTATGTTTACATACAGTGAAAGTCACTGAGAAATGCACCAAACCCCAGCTGGTTGAATGATCTTGTATGCAATTTGCTGCATTTACTGTAGAGGATTAAATTAGTCTTGGATTCTTAATCCTTGGAGAACACTGTTTCTCACCTCTTAAAAAGTATCAGGCTTTGCTTTGAGCTTGTGAATAGTCTTAAATAAGGACACATCTACACTACAAACTTGCACTGGCGCTGCTGCACTGATACAGCTGCGACGCTGTAGCACTCCTGGTGAAGACGCTCTACGCCAGGGGTCGGCAACCTATGGCACGCGTGCCAAAGGCGGCACGTGAGCTGATTTTCAGTGGCACTCACACTGCCCGGGTCCTGGCCACCGGTCCAGGGGGCTCTGCATTTTAATTTAATTTTAAATGAACCTTCTTCAACATTTTAAAAACCTTATTTACTTTACATACAACAATCGTTTAGTTATATATTATAGACTTATAGAAAGAGACCTTCTAAAAACGTTAAAATGTATTACTGGCACGCAAAACCTTAAATTAGAGTGAACAAATGAAGACTCGGCACACCACTTCTGAAAGGTTGGCGACCCCTGCTCTACGCTGATGGGAGTAGCTCTCCCGCTGAGATAACACTGTCTACATGGAGGGTTACGGTCAGTATAACTATGTCACTTAGGGATGTATGGATTTTTCAAACTCCTGAGCAATGTAGTTATACCAAAGTATGTATGTAGTGTAGACCTGGCCTAAATCAGTAATATGGAAAGTATCATATAGATTTTACAATTCTTTCCTTTACAAAAAATGAAATTATGAGCCTATGATGTTCAGAAGCACAAAATGAAATTTTGTGATCTTGATAAATGAACTAGTCACAGTAAAACATTTCTTGTGAAAAATTTGCAATGGCAAAATAAATGCGAAAGATGTGTAAACAATTTGTTTTCAAACTATATCTTTAGTGTGTATTATAGATGATGCAGTAAGCTATTTACTTTTGAGGACTATGATGAAATCTAACCCAAAGCACAATTGCAATGACTTGTACCAGATAGTTCCTACTAGATATCTGCCAACATAACAAAATCATCAGACCATTTGTCATAATCACAAATTTCTGCCCAGGGAATCTCCCAGCACAAGGACAGCAGGGCTGCTGCAGGTTCATCTATAAAGGTAGGTGAAAAAGTTTTACCACATCCTGCCTACAAATACAATATAGGAATCAAGATGGAAATATACGCAGATTGATATGAAAGAGTGAGAAATAAGCTTACACAACAAGAACTATGACATTATGGATAATATCACTTCTGGGATGTACCTTGAATATTGCATTTGAGGATCATATAAGATTTCTAGTTTGCTCTAGTGTTCAAAGGATAATCCAAAAGAAGAAATTTCCCATTAGAGAACTTCACCATGTCTTATCTTCAATTATTCAACCTGTAGTTACCCAGAGTTTTTCAAAGCAAATGTGTTTAAAATAATGGATTGTTAACAATAAACTATATGCCCAATTTATACTGCTGGATAAACACAATGTATATTTTTTAGGATAGATCAAATTGTTTTTCATAAACCCAAATTTGATACTTCTTTCAAAAACACAGTATATTGAAAGTTAACAATGATTTGTCTACCAGCTTCAATACTAAAACAATATGCTTACCTGTCTTGATCTTGGTCTCCCAGGAGAAAACTTTCGTTTGGTGATAGCTGGCTTTCCCATGCCGATTTTTGGAGTGACAGATATATAAGTTGTTGGGAGAACATTTCCAGCAGAGGAACTCTGTGGTGGAGTCTGACTGTGCATCATATCATGTGCAGAATGCAAATCTAATGAAACTACTGGTGAGGAACACACACTTATCTTGTTTATGTCAACTGATGATGAAAATGAAGAATATGTCTCCGTCGGTGACTTTATAGGTTTGTCTCCTAATAGTGAACTGTTTGCACAACTTTCATTTGCAGGAGTGGTTTCCACTTTCAACAGAAAAGTTGGTGTTTCAGAGCTTTCATGGGTTTCTTTCTTTTCTACGTCTTCTTGCACTCTTACTGTCTCCAATTGTTCTTCTATCTTAAAAGAAGTCTCCTCTTTATTCACAGACCCTAAAGTTTCTGGTGGTGTAGTTGTGGCCTCAGGTGCTGAAAGGGGAGGCTGAGTTTCCTCTGTGGATACTTTTGATACCTCAGCATCTTGTGACAGTTGCTGCTCTTCTGCTTGTTTGTCTGACTCCGGCTGCGTTACAGCTTGAATGCTTTCTGTCACTTCCATCATGTGCTTAGTTTGACTGTCATCAGATGCTGGTGTCCTTTTAGGAGATGTTTCCATTTTAGCTGTACCAAGTTGATTAGAAACTCCTGCTTCCAGTTCAACAGTCTTTTCATCCTGTGATATGTCTGTAATAAAACGAGAGCATATCGTTAGAGACTCCTACGAAAGCATTAATAGTAGAAAAGATTTATATTTTAAAAAAGAAAAGTGGGAGATATTTCAACATTAAAATACACATTTATCTTCCAGAGGAACAATACAGCAGATGGAACCTAGGTTTAAATATGAAGGCGCAAGCAAGCAGAATGTTCTGAGGCCTGGACGACATAGTTTTAACCACATGGCTACGTCTGGTACGGGTGTGAAAAAAAAAATCGCACATCAACAGACATAAGTATGCCAAGCAAAAGCCTTTGCCAGTATAACTGTATCTACCCAACAAGCTACGCTAGCAAAAGGACTCTGTTTCATTTCGTGACCTGGCATAAACTATACTGACGAAAAAAACCTCATTTGCTGTTATGAGCTATACTCCCAAATCCTTTCTAGTGTAGACAAGCTGTCGTGGAAGACTTTTCACTGTGAAACTTGCTTCCACCCAGAGATCAGGTTTGACCAAGTCTTGAGATTTTGGAGGAACAGGTGCTACAATGTGCTCCTGGATCAACCTACCTAATCCCATAGACTAGATACTTTACAATAATAAATATTAGTATGTGAGATGATGGGAAGTGGACTATTTCGCCTGAAAGATGTATATTTAAATCTATGTATTATAACTAAATGCTACAGTGATGGATACATTACAAATATAAATAAATACATTAAATTGCTATTACTACCAATCATTTATGTAAAGGGAAAAAGAGACGTGGTATAAAAAAAGCGAACATGATACAATAGCCAAATATTATCCTTCCTAAGCCCCCAATAAACTGGGAAAAAGAGGGCTGTGTAGCTCCCTCCATCTTCCCCTTTCCCCTCCTCATGGGAGCTCATCTTCCCTCCTGGGTTTGGGAAGAAATAGCTGGGAAGGGGGAGTATTCTAGTTGATTGGCTGGTCTGAGCAGTGCAACAGAAACCCACTGGCTATGCACACTGAAGGGGAGGGCATTCTAAATTCTTTCCCCTTGGCTGGGATGCCATTATTCGCCCAGAACATGTTACCATGCTGCCAGATAGTATTTCTGACATCACAAATGCTGTTGCGATTACAGTAAAATGTTTAATATGATATTTCATGACATCAAACCATACCAAATGTTTTATGTATCTAATCCACAAAACTCAAAATACAACCTAGAAAAATAAAAAGCATTTGCTTATACACATACAAATAATCCAGAAATTGGAAATGATGGAAAAATGAAAGCCAGAAAAAGTAAATGACTGTTTAATAGGGTATTTACTCTCTATATAAAATCTTTTACATATATAAAATCTTTTTTTGCTTCACTGTGGCTGTGGTGCTTAAATCTAAACATGTGCAGAAGTAGTACAGACGATCCATCTTCCTAAAGAACACGAGGGAAGGAGAGAAACAGTTTATAATGTAGTTAAAGTAATGTGTTAGCTTTGAGCTATGTAAAGTGAAAAGTATGTTCAAAATATCACAATATTCACTGCCATAAGCTCATTTTAGATTTCAATATTCAGTAAGTGGATTAACAACATGGATTTAATACAAAGCTTCATAACTTAAACAAAGACCCAGTGTAGCACAAATCACTCAGATGATAAATTAGAATAGTATATATTTTCAAAAAATTGACCACAACTAAATTTTTCAGTGGGTAATTCCTTAGAAAGTACAGCTTTCTTTCTGAAAAACACCTTTGACCGTTTCATAACCACACAATGTTCTCCATAAAAATCTTAAAAAACAAAATATCCACAAATTAAACAAATCTCAGATGGTGTAAACTGCCCAGCTGGACAAAAAACTCTCCCAACCGTGTACAACCAACAAAGTTCCCCATAGCTTGTCACTTAGGATCAGCATGAAAGTGTGATTTCAAGTTATGGTATGCAAAGGTAGCAAGAAGAAAACTTTTCTTGTCAAGTGTATGTGTGAGTCTGAGCCATAAATTTCTGAAGAATTAAAACCTATATTTTTTTTTATAAAGTCAGCCAAACCAACATAGTTTTCTTGTTTTTTGCGATAGCATCACATTAAATGCTCATGTTTGTAATGCATTACCACTAATGGGATTCCTTGCCTCAAACCAGCTCTCTCCCATGTGGCATTTCTCTTCGGTATTATCTCCATATAAGTTGAATACTATCCCAATGGAATTTGCCCAATTTTCTAAATTCTCAAGGCCCTATTGCCGCTTCACTTGATCTTCTGTTGTGTTTGCAATCCTTCTTAAATTGGTATCACCATCAAATTTGATTATTTAATCTTCCAGGTAATCTGTGAAGCTATTAAATAGCACTAATACCAAAAGAAGCTCACTTGACACCTCAACTGGTTTTGATTATGCTCTGATTGTTTCCACTTCTGGTTAATTAAACAGTTGTGTTCATATTACCAAAAATCTTTCCAACTTTTACATTAGGTCATTTAGACCAATAACAAAAATGGTTCAGTCAATTCACTTTATCCACAACAATTAAAATTTTATTTAATGACAGAACAAACATAATTTTTGTCTGGCTTTTCTTTAAAATAACAAAACACCACAAATACCTTCCTTCTCCACAAATCTATGAGTCTTCCTACACATCGAATTGTCATCTAAATATTTCCTGTATTGTTTAATAGGTTACCTAACTGTGATTTATCCAAACAGTTCAATATATTTACGCTTTGAAAACACTTTGTGCACTCCTCTTGTGCTTCCTCTGATCTTACCAATGAATTCAAACTATCAGCTATATATTTTGCTATTTGTTTCAGGATCTTGGATACAACTCTTCGGGTCCCGCTGATTTAAAAGCCAACCAATAGTCTCTCAGCTCCTTTGAATCCATCATTAGAGAAGACTTATCCAGATCATCTATGCCACCCAATATTCCACACTCTGATATTAGTATTAACATGGGGGACAAAATACTGCATGTACTAAATAACTCAGACATCATACAGGGACACTCCAAGTGCTAGGCTACGATTACTCTAGTTTTACTCTTTTTCTTGGTGAATTTTTAAAAGTCTCCTAGAAAAGTATATTATTTAACTCTCCTAGAAAAGTATACTATTTTTGTCTTTTACTTCTGAAAGATCTGACTGTTCACTAATCTTATCCAATGACTTCCCTGATTTCCCCACTTTTGTACAGTATTTTTTTTTAAGTCATTTAATTCAGGTCTTGGCATGTATCATCATGTAATCAAATATGTCTTCTCTACTCATCATGTATTGCACAAAGACAACTCACCTAGTCTGTTATTCTAAGAAAGATGCTGGTGCTGTTACACTCAAAATTGATGGCATTGACATCTTTGCCAACAATCGATCTATTTAGGCTAGCAATGGTAACAAGAATAGGAGTAGGATCAAAGGTTCCTGATACTTGAAATGTAGTTAAGACTTAAACAATTGTTTCTGAAGTCTCTGCAGAACAGGGAAGCAATGCAGTGCTATGGTAAGTAAAATAAAAAGACAAAATGTATTTTGAAAAATGTTATCCAGCCAATTAGATTGTTGGGATGGGATGTACTGACCAATCATTCTGAGACAATCTGAGACAATCACCCGAAGCTTCTTTGCCAGGTTGACCAATGTTTCTGACCTCTTTTGGGAGAAAGAGATGCAGAGGATGAATCTTCTAATGGGGATCAGGAGTCCTTCTTCACTGTTGTAGGATTGTTTTTAGACTCCAGTAAAGATGGTACCAAAAACGGTTGAGTTCACATAACAGTAGAGCAGGGCAAATAATGGAAAATAAGAATTCACAGTACATTTATGCATATTCACCCACCTTTCTCAAAACCCAAATTTTTGTCAGTTCTCCAGTTGTGTGCAGCAACATATGCCAGTATTCAAAGAATAGCAAATACGTGGAAAACATCTTATTCTGGAGAAACTACATATTGTATTCAGAATATGAAATGTTTTCATAAGAATTTCCCCTGCTGCCCTGTTTTGAAAACAAACATGATAAGGTCTTTTGTGGTTCACTCTTCCATTTAGTAAACAGATGTCAGATAAAAGATGAGTTCCCTCTTGAACTCAGGAAAAAAGGTTTACAAAGCTATAGGACTTTGGACTTGGCGGCTCATTTGCTAGTGCTCTTTGTTTCCATATGGGATATTCAAGTTCTCAATCTTCTAGCTGGCAAGGGCAGGAAGTTCTGAAGGAGTTGCACATTCAGCCAACAGGAAGAAGTGTCACATGTTAATCAACAGCACCCTTCGTCCCCCGGACCCCGAAGCCAAATAAATAAATATATATGTTACTTCTCAAAGCTCAGAGTGGGTAGGTTCCAGTAAGCAGTCTTAATGACAATTTTTGAAAGGTGATCCATCCAGAGTCAGACAAAATGGAAAGGTGATTACAATAAGGAAAATCAAGTGAACTGAATTTAAAGCAGGAAAAAAAAATTGCTTGTATTTTTGCCATGAGCTTCTTTTTATAAGGGTAGAACATCTATTTTAAAAATCCACTTGCATTTGGAAAAAAGATGAAATTATCACAGGAGGTCACATGTGGTTGTATGATTAAATCCATGTAGCAGGCATGCTGGAAGCACTCACCCCTTGGATATGTAGCCCAAAACACACAAGAGAAAATTCAGCCACTCATCCTGTTGTGTGCTATTGCTAACACATGAGACTCTGTGAAAGCGTAAGGGATACCATTCCTCTGGGGTCAGAGGCCAGCAGCTGGCTAATCAGGCCCACCTGGTGCACCTGGGACAAGACCTGTGTAACTTAACAGGCTGTTCTTCATAAAAGGAGGAACAGGAAATAGAAAGGGAGAGCTACGATATTGCCAGAGGCTGGAGCTACTTCTGGGAGGAACTGCTCCCAGAAACAAAACAGACAGAAGGGAGACTGTGGGAAGTCCTATTATCACAAAGGCTCTGAGGCAAGAGCCAGGAACTTTTGGGTTGAAGAACTTCAACCCAAAAGGGATGAGGGACAGACTTAGGGAAGGTTTGATCTTGTTTTGTTGAGGCGTCATGAAAGGAAAAAAAACAACAACAGCTGACCTGCTGGAAATTACCTTCCTCGGACTCTGGGAGAAGGTTCCAGGCAGAATTCCCTAGAGAAGGGCATGGGCTCAGCAAGAACAACGCTGGGTCCAGCTGGAAGAGGGGACTATAAGACAGGCCCCAATCCTTTGCAGACTCATACAGAAAGTTTTGCGATTGAAATTATGTGGCAACAAATAATATTTTTTTTCTCTATGCTCCACAAACATACAAACATACCAACTTGGTTAGCTTCTATTTCAGGGAATATCCACTCCCAGTAAATATTTAACATTTTTTCTCCCATATAAATGTTCTGCAGACAGAGTCTATAACTTTATCCTTGTCTTAATGAAAATAATCTTTCAAACAACAAAACATAGTTAACACAGTCACTGAAGAGTTCTGGTGATGGAATCAATACAATTCATTTGACTCTGCAAAAGGCAGGGAATCTTCCTGTTAGTGTTTATGTAACTTCATGAGCACTTAGTAATCTATTTTGTCTGGCTGTGAACCTCTCATTCTTACCATTTGTGACACATCCAACTGTTGATTCTTGACCAGGACCATCATCAGTAACTCTTTTTTCCTGAAATGCCACTTCTTCTGCATCACCTCCAATTTCCATTTCATTTGTACAAGCTTAAGGAAAAGCAAAGCATTTATCAATTTTGACATAGTGTTTATTGTATTACTTTGGCATCAGTGGTTGCTGTCATTGCTTGACCTTTTGGTTTAACAACGTGGTATTTAACTATGTGATTTGAGTTAAGGCAAATCAGGACAACTAGAAGGTTAGGTAGAATATACAGCATTTCCTAAAGAGTTTGTCTAAACATGGAGTTATTTAGGAATAGCTATATCTCCATGTATGGAATAACTCCATGTATGGACACTTATTCTGGAATAAGAGTGCTTTGGCCCTATTTAACTTAATCCACCCTAATGCTACATTACAGAACCCATGCCAGCATAGCTATACCAGCATAGTCCCCGAATGTAGACACAGCATTTACCAATAAAAGGAGTTTTTCTGCCGATGTAGGAACATCACCTCCTTAGCTACATTGACAGAAGCCCTCTTCTGTTGGCATAGTTGTGTCTACACTGTGGTTTTTGTCAGCATAGCTATGTTGATAGGGGTGTGGTTTTTCACACCCATGGCTGACATACCTGTAACAGTTTAAATTTGAAGTGAAGACCAGGCCTAAATGGATTAATTTTAACAGGTACAAGGCACTCTTATTCCAGAATAAGAGTGTCCACACATGGAAGTATTCAGGAATCTATATTGCACTTTAAATTCACAGCCTACCTTAATCCCAGTTAACTTTCAAGTACAGACAAGCCCCAAGGGCCTAATTCTCATTAGTGCTACAACTGCTTTACACCATTCTGACAGTGAAAAGGGATTTTAAAGTAAGTATAAGTGTAATTTTGTAAACATAATTTACACTCACTTTAAAATCCCTTTACACTGTCAGAACCATATAAAAGAGCTTTGGCGTAAATGAGAATCAGGCCCTAAGGTCCCAAATCCTATAAATAACTTGCAGAATCATGGCTGAAAATATTTATAAAAATAAATAATACAAGAACACTGTAGACGTATGACATAGTGAAGAGACTCTATCGTCTATCAACGTTCAGAACGTTCAAGTGGAGGCTAAATTTTCCACTTGAGGCATAGGCCTTCTTTCATATGCAAGGATCCCATTTCAGCTGGAGGAAGTTGCATGGAGAAAGCATATTAACTCAATGAGTGGGGCTACCTGTTGGGCTGAAGTCCTCATTATGGTGCATGCCTACCAGAAGCCTACTTTCTTTTTCCCTAAAAGCCTTTATACCTAATATAATTCATTAAAATGCAGTATGCAAAGTAGGGGACAGGGAAAATGTAAAGTATATACTAATACCTCCAGTTCCTAAAGAACTGATCCTCAAACAGCATTAGTGCAAAAAAGCACAATGACTATTGCTTTTTGTTCAGGAAAGCCTCTTTAAAGTTCAAAAAGCCAGAAACGATTAGGTGATGCTACTTTTAGCACCTAAATATCCTCTCAGAGACTACGCCAACATTAAAGTGATATTTTAATTTCAATTTGAGGAAATGATCATTTAGATTGGCTCCAAATCTGGGTTTAATCTACAAAAGTGATCTCTTGGGTATAAGATGCTACATGACTACCCTCCTATAACAGCTTCAGATTTTCACTAGTAGTTGAGATGACACCCTAACTCTTCCTTGGAGGAAAAGAATACATTCCTCAGTGTTTCATCTGGCTAAAAAACATAACAAAAGTAGTATTTTCAATTTTAAGCATTCAAATAAAAGCTTCCATTTATTCAGCAGTGTTTTCACTTTAAGGTAGGAAGGTTTTTAGGATTAGTTTTGTGTGTTAGCTCAGACTTCTCCCTAAATGACCTAAACACACTATTTGAAAGTTCAATAACCATGAGTAGCCTTTCAAGATAGAAGTGACCTTTTGCTAACCTGTTGTACATGTTCATTCCTAACCTCTGCCATTCATTTATTTATATTTACCTACTGTCACTGTCCCTCTCCAAGATCAATTTTTCCATTATCCCTTGCTACTCATCAAGGGTGTATACACATGACCGGAGCCAGCACCAAAGATGCTTGTTTATGCAAAGAATTAGCCTGCACACATAGGAGAATTATACTTGACTTTTCTGGTAGTTCAACGTTTTCCCCATCACCAATGAAACGTGGGATATAAATACCTTGCAGCTGGTTTCCCTATTTCTTCTAAAAGAAGCTCACAATACATGGATGACAAGAATTCACAAAGTGCCAGATTGACTGATGCTGTCAAAGCAGAGCAAGACTTCACTAGTGCCCTCTCCTAATGATGGTGGTGTTTTTTGTAAAATGTCACCAATCATATTTCTCCCATGAGACAAAACATGCATGAGAAGAAGTGCAATCCATGTGACAATGTGGTGTTAAATACCCAAGAGTATTCAACTCACACACACCCCCATTACAATTTAGCAAGGTAGCAGGTCTAGTGGACAGAGCACCAGACCATGGCTTGAGTTCTACTCCCAGCTCTGTTGATGACCTACTGTAAAAGCTTGGACAAAGCACTTCACATCTTTCTGTTTCCCCTCTCATCTTTGGTCTGTCTTGTCTAATTAGACTATAAGATCTTTGAGGCAGGGACTGTCTCCTGTGTAAATATTTTGTTTTGAATTGGACTCTTATAATGACAAAATACATTTAATTGAATGTAGTTTAATGATTTAATTAAATACAGCTTAACCATAACTAACTGTTTGCTACTCTCACGCGTTAAGAGAAAATTTTACCTGTCACACTGCAGGATTCAGGAATCAGTCCAGAAGTCTGCATTAGATCACATGGCTGTGTCTGATCCACTTCTCCTTCTAGTTGTTTACAAAGAGTACAGATGTAATCTTTTAACTGAGAATCCAATTCATTACCTGGAGGTTTGTCACATTCTATATGAATCCACCTGGATAGATTATTAAAGTTACATGAATTATAATTAATTCACATTAAATTATAAAATGTCTTACTTAGAATCAATCTCTCTGTCTCTCTCTCTATTCATTCCAACTCTCAGAACATGCACAAGCACACAAATGCACACGCACACACCAAAAAAGTGTAAACCAATGCCTAAAGGGTGCAATTATAAATGATGACAAAATCTACTTTGCAATTTGACTTATTTAGACAGTAAGACCTAGAGAATGTGATTCTTTTTCAACTTAGAAATACTACTGCTCTGGGGAAGGAAAGAAATAAAAAAAGCTTTCAATACATCAGGCAGAGAACAAATTTAAATAGCATTCTAAACTTTGCTTAAAGCCGACCATGAAACCATAATATGGTCCTAAATGCACATCGATTTAAAGATTTCCCCTCTCTTTCATCCCCCCCATTACTGAGTTAACAGCATGGGTATAATTGGATACAGAATGCCTATTCCATAGACTTTGCAAAAGAAGACAAATACAAATAATTCTGTTTCAATTCTTCATGAAAATTTATAATAGAAAGAATTTAAAGCTAGTGCTCATAAATGAGAGGTTTCAGAGTAGCAGCCGTGTTAGTCTGTATCCGCAAAAAGAACAGGAGTACTTGTGGCACCTTAATAGCTCATCTTAATTAATTAGCCTCTTCAAGTTGGTATGGCAACTTCCACCTTTTCATGTCCTCTGTTTGTATATCTATCTTCTTACTGTATGTTCCATTCTATGCATCCGATGAAGTGAGCTGTAGCCCATGAAAGCTTATGTTCAAATAAATGTGTTAGTCTCTAAGGTGCCACAAGTACTCCTGTTCTTTTTGCTCATAAATGTTACCACATTGACAGCCCAGGTCAGCTCTAGTCTTTAGTTTACCCACAGAATAAATGCAACATAATTTACAGCAGGGCAAGTGTCTTTGTTATGCCCCAGTCTCTAGGAGAAGAGAGGACAGTTTACTCATTTGATGAAATTACAAACAAAGGGTCCTATTTATTGACAATTGTGGTAATGTTTTATGATGACCCTTGCCCATTAAGTGAAGTGAGATGGATGCATAATTTCCGATAGGCCGCCAAACACATTAAAATCATTTAAGGAGTTGTAGTAAATTCAGCTTCTTACCTTTTGCACATATGACAGTGCAACAAGTCTTTCTGCAAGTCTGGGTGGCATGATTTTTCACAAAAAGGACAAGGTAGGTTGTCTTGCTGTTGGTAACAACTATCACACACTAGACAGTTGTGGTGCCACTGACAACTGGTTCGTGTGCCACACTCAGCACACACTCTGCAGTTCTGGGGACCATAAAAAACGGATTTAGTTTGTTAATTATGCTGCTACACCACAGGACCAAACTATCATTAATTGACACTTTCTACTCTGATTAAAGGGGCATTTTTAAAATCCTTTTTATTTTATTTTTTGGGGGGGCAAATGCTAGTAAATGGTACAAGATTAACTGCTCTGACTCTGGAAGTCTTATCAACAGAACATGTAAAGCCTGGCAATAGCAGGAAAAATTTCCTTGCACTGCACTCTCATTTGAAAGGGACACAACCTCTCTGGTGAGTGGATACTTCAGTCTCTAATCCCATTCAAATGTCAGTTTCTTGTTGAGACTACTAACAAGGAGGATCAATTAGTACAAACTGTGGTGGTGCTTTTGTGATTCTGACACCTATATAATGAGAACTAAATTAGGACTCAACTCATTTCACAAAGGTCACCAAATAAAATCATATACTAACTATCTTTAGTCCATATTACAGTTTTTACATTTATAACTTCAGAACTAATGGTTATCACCTTTCAACAGCACGCGTAACTATTCAATTACTGCTCATTTTCTGTGTAGCATATGACGCCAAAAAATGTATTACCAAATTATTGCCATTTATGATGACAACAATGGGGTAAGTCCAGTCTCTTCCTCCACGGTGAAAGAGGGCCCTGTGCAGTTGAATTGGTGTTATTTTATTGAACAAGGAATGTCAGGACAAAGGGAGGCATACAGGACAGGAAGCACGTACTTCATGGCACAGACTGAAGTGTTGCACAAGCCCCTTCAAGAGCAATGTATGGAGGAAGATATGACCAGGTGTGGGGAATCCATATGGATCTCTGTATGGATCATCTCCCTTCCTATCTCCTACATAAGGGGCTGCTTAAGTGCCTATATGGGCTGATTCAGCCATTGAACTGAAGCAGTCTCCACGGAGCAGCTATGGTGCCACACCACAACCTGATAGCAGAAGTCCTCCAGAGATCACTAGGTTGGGATTTCTGGCCTGTGTTCTATGCAGGTGGTCAGACTAGATGATCATTATGGTCCCTTCTCACCTTAAAAAACTATGTATATTAACTTGAGAGATACAAAGGGAATGTTATAAAGACAGGGACACAATCTCTGGGGGTTGGTGCCCAGAGGCAACCCTCAGCATGCAGATCTCCCCCTACCCACATGAAGTGTATGGGAGGGATGCATTAGGATCAGTTGCCTCCATGCTAGCTAGCCTTCCTTTCTCTTCTAGAGGCACTCTGAAGGATTTTTTGTAAGGTCCAGGATTTGTGTTTGAGGAGGTAGACTGCAGTAAAGCTGGGAAGAAGCATGCCATTACCTTACTAAATTTAAACAACTTTGTTTGAAGAGAACCTCCACGCAGATGTTAATATAGCTTGAACCTTTATTATTAACTTTTTCTGAGAAGGGCACCCTTGATGTTCTGGAACACCGCATGCACCAATGCACACACACCTTTTGTCTTGGGTGGCTGGCCCCTGTACATGAAGCAGCTGTGCCAGAACAGGTGCTCCCAGTTTGGCAGGGCAATACCAGAGGCTATAAAGGATCAGGGAGAATCAGAGAGAGACACTCAGTGAGTCAGAGCAGCCTGAGTCAGTCACAAAAAGGGGCAAATGAGACCTTCCAGAGACCAGAAGAAGTCCCTGAAGGAAGTTGTAGGAGGTTCCTGGGGAATGCTGAAAGCAGGAGAGCAACAAGAGGGTTTGTTGGACAACAATCCCAAGCCAGAATGCCAGGGCCGGAGAGTTGGGGAGCACTAAAGGCCAGAGAGCAGCTGAGTGAGTTGCCTAAACCGGAGAGTGAAAGTCAAGGGCTGGAGAGGGCTGAAGGCACAGGAGTAGTATAGGGGCTTATTTGCTAATGTGTCCAAGCTGGAGAGCTGGACCCAGAAGAATAGTTAGAGGGGCAGAGGAGTGCTCTCCTGGTGAGAATGATCTACCAGCAAAGCGGCTGTGGGGGCTCCTGCTGGGAAGAGCCGGGCTACATGCCAGCTGGGAGAGGGCAAGAAGCGGACTGACAAGGTGCCTAGGTGTGGCAGAAAACACCGGAGGTGTGGTACTTGGGGTGTCAAGGGACTGCCAGTCCTGGGATTTTAAGGACTATAGGCACTGGATATGATAAATGGACTATGTGTTGGGAATTATTTGCATAATGTTTATTTACTAAACCAGTCCCAAGGAGCGATATTACTGAGGCAGGAGAGCCTGGCGTAGAGATACTGGGGACTCAGAGGGAAGAAAAGTGAGGCAGGCACAATGGCTGTGCCATCGCCTGCTGCAGGAGGATGCTCAAGATGGAGCCACTCATCGCACTGTTTAAGATTATTCCAGGGGCAGGAGTCAAATGGTGAAGTGTTCATCTTGGGCAGTTCCCTGCAAGCGGCGACCTGTCCCTGCTGCTCCGAGGCAGAGGCACAGCTAGATGACTCTGCGCACTGCCTACGCCTCGCCCCGCCCCGAGTGCTGGCTCTGCAGCTCCCATTGGCTGGGAACCATGGCCAATGGGAGCTGCGGGGGCAGCATCTACAGGCACAGGCAGCGTGCAGAGCCGCCTAGCTGCGCCTCCACCTAGGAGCAGCAGGGACATGTTGCTGCCTGCAGGGAGCTGCCCAAGGTGAGCACCGCCCAGATCTGGTACCCCGAAACCCCTCCTATGCCCCAATCCCCTCTGTCCTGAGCCCCCTCCCACATCCAAACTCCCTCCTAGAGCCCACACCCAGCAGCCCCTCCCACACTCCAACCCCCTCGTGGCCATTCCTGCGCCTAGGAGCAGCAGGGACATGTCGCCGCTTCCGGGGAGCAGTGTGGAGCCAGGTAGGGAGCCTACTGGCCCCGCACCAGCCGGACTATAAACTGGACTTTCAGTGAAGATCAGAAATGCCGGTTTCTAGAGCTTTCCGGTTGATAAAGTGCTGGATAACACAGAAAACACTGTACATACAGTGCCTGCAGTATTTGTCCTACATGTATATTATGACCATTAAACTGGTGTTCAAAATGCTGCACAAACAAAAGTGCTATATAAAAAACTAAATATGATTAGAATAATGATTTCTCATGCAGGTTTTACATAAATTGGGGACATCTTATCTACAGAAGTTTATTTTTAAAGGTAAAATATATTTTTATGAGTATGCTGGTTCTTGCCTGGCTGCCATTTTATGTCCTTTTTTTTTTTTAAAATAAGCTTTTGGCATCCAGCAAGCTGACTGGCTGGCAGAGATCCTTTCCAGTAGTAAAGGCATCTGGCTCGGAGGCAACGAATTCTCAACTCAAAAGATGAATAAAAATAATAAATCATGCAATACTAGGGTAAAGAATTAAATAAAAAAAAGATGTGAGAAGTCTCTGTGAAATGGAGCTTCGAGCAAAACAAACAGCATATTTTTAGCTAGCCTCCATATTTATGTTCAGTAGAAAACATCTGAAAAATAATTTACACTATTCACTATTACATGTATGAAATTCTCTGGGATTAAGAAAGCTAGACTGTTGTCTTTATGTTACACCCATATCCACATCTATATTGATTTAAAAAAACAACAAAATACTATTTTCACTAGCCAGAGGCTGAATTCGGATACTTTTACTCACTTCAAACAACAACTTTACTCCACAAATAATCACTCTGGTTTCAATAGCAATAAATATGAAGTAAGGTAATACTCAGCATGAGTAACAATATCAATGTTTGGCCCCACATAGGCAATGAATATTTTTAAAAACATATTTAACTTACTTTGCATTTCCAGCCATTTGTTGGTACAGCGTCCATAACTGGTTGCAGACAAAAAGTATGGTACCCTTTGTCACACGTATCACACACCAGCATCTTGTTGTCTTCCCCAGAATGCCTAAGAAATATGTCAATGGCGACACTTAAAGCCATTTAAAACAGGCCATAATGAAAAAACACTCTTTAGAAAGTATTCTAAGAACAAAGCCAGGATAATTGAGCACAGAACTCCCTTTACATCACAATAGCAACATACGGACACAATTTTCAAACATAGGTGCCTAAAGACAGGCTCTTAAATCCATATTAAACTAAAAGTTGTCTTGTTTTCAAAACTGCTGAACACTTGCAATGCCCATGACTTCTGGAAATCAGCCATTTTTATTTAGGTGTCTATACATGGATTTAAGACCTAGCTTTTGACACCTATGTTTGAAAGTTCAAGGAACATCTGGCTAGAATTAGCATCTTTAGATAGAATTCCATCCAGGTGAATCAGTTCAAAATTTGAAACATTCCGCCTTGTGTGTGTCTGGAAAGCCTATGTAATTTTTCCTTCTTCTCAAAACGAATGATTCAGTGATATTTTTTCAAAAAAGAAATAGTTACCCACAACTCAGCCTGCAAATAAGCCTATGATCATAAACCTATATGCATGCAAATGAGTAAAAATAATTGTTAAGGGAGAAGCTTCCAAATCCAATTATTTTACAGATTACACAGTAGGGCAGATCTTCCATTGGTGTAATCATCATAGCTCCACTGCCTTCAGTGATAACTGACAGGTACAGAGTGTGTGTGTGTGTATGTGTGTGGCCATTTTTAAAAACAAAAATTGCGCATTGAAAAAGGAACAAGCTGAGGATCTGTCCAGTATTTTTAAATATCAAATATATTTTGTGTATTTTTAAGTTCTAATAAATAAATGTAGCAACTGAGTGTACCACCAAGGTTTGGTTTTGATGAAGAAGCATAGTTAAACTCCAGGCTCACACTCAGAACTCATCAGCAAAATGTCATACTGCGTATTAGACGCTACTTCATTAGCTGAGAGACATGATATTTTGAGAGGAAGGAATAAATGCTGCTCTGAATAGCAAAATGGATAAGACACTGTCCTATGACACCTGCATAATTCTGCCACCCTGTCCTCAACAAAACAATATACTGTGTATATAATCATATTTTACTACCTATTCCATTTGCCATTGTGGAGAGGATTATTTAACAAGTCTTTCCCATAACACAATGAAAATCTTCTTGTGGGTGTACTTCTTAGAATGTGCTCCGATACTAATCTTTGACTGCTGAGATCTACTGTAGTCTGTGTGTGGTGAGGGAACATAACTTTCTTTGAACTTGGTGTTCTTGGTAAATGGTGCAGCACTAAAGGAGGTGCATTTTGCCCTACGTATCAGGCATGTATTGCCCTACGTGTCAGGCAGCAATTAAGTGGTTCTTCACTCTTAGATTGTCCTTGATGATGTCCATAAAACTGAACAATATTATTTTTCTTTCTCAATAGGCACTTTTAAAAAATATATATACACAACACGTATTAGATAGGTCTTATGAGAATAACTGTACAGGTATATTCCAAGTCCTGAGTGAACCCTTGTAAAATTTATTTAATCGTTTCCAAGGATGACTTGTCATCATCTTCAAGTTACTTAGGTAAGCCTCAAATCTGTTTTAGCAGTGACTCATCAGTTCACTCCCTCTACAAAGTATTCTGAAGTAGAAGGATCAGTCTTGTACAAAGAACACTTCCAGCCAGTGGTAAGTACCTAATATATAGGAGTTCCATCTCAGCTCTTTTTTGAGGAAGATTCAGAAGCTTTGGGATTTGATCAGTTATTTAAGTTAGCACTATGTGCTAAGCAGATGTACTTTGGTATGCAATCTTTATTTTTTTTGAACAAACAGTTTAAGATAAACAGTTTTATTAGTAACATTTTGTTCCTAAAATCTCAGTGTATGTAAAACCATTCCCCATTCTCACTTACTTGCAGTTCTGGCACACTTTGCAGTCAGGACACTGCCAACCTGCTCGTTTTAAAGGTGTAACTTGTATATCCAGGCACATCCCATGGTAATGCTGCCCACAGGTAGTACAAAAAAGTTGATCTAAGAGGTCTCCAGGGCTGTCACACACTGCACAATTTGCTTCTTCCTTTGCTATAATTTAAAAGTTTTCCAATTATTCAATGAAAAAATAAAGTTTCCCTGAATTTCTCTCTCAAACCAAACTTTTCCATACATTTAGAAATTAAGAGGTAAATAGTTTCAAAATATTAATCACGTTCTTTTTTAAGAATGATATACAATTCAATAAAATAGAGAAAACTATAATATTTTCAAGTTTTTAATCCATTCAAATTTATTTACTTTTTCTGATGAATATATGCTCTGGGTTTTTGTTTTATTTTTGAAATCTGCAGCTACTCTTTTCACACCAAAATTACATACATTTCAAATATTTAAAAATGAAATCTTACTAAAATAAATAGATTTACTCTCCTCTCCACCTGAGACTTAAGACCTATTCCTGTCAGTACAGATTGCATGATCAGATTCTCAGTGGTTTTAGTGTTACATTTTGTCCTACCTTTTGCTATTTTATGAAAGCTGCACAATATTTTTAGCTGCCACAAGTACATTTCTTTTACATGCTTTTTTAGTCATTTAGTCTTAGACAGTAGCTTACATTTGGTTAGTACAGCTTCACAATTTTGTGGCTAATTGTCCTGATATAGCCCCTGTTAGTTGTTTACAATTATTAATTTAAAATACTACTGAATAAAATGTATTGCTACAGGCTTACTTACTAAGGCTCTAATTCAGGAGCTTCCATGCTCAGGAATGGCCCTTACACATTTGCACATGTGTAAGTCCCACTGAAGTTGTGAGCTCAAATGCTTTTCTGAATCAAACCCTAACTGTTTTAAAAATTGCAAAAGTCTAACAATGAACTTTTATCACCTTCACTGAGAAAACAAGAAATACTAACTTCATTTGTTGCAAGTCTATATAACAGTTATACACAATATACATAAAGATAGTGTGTATATACACACACACACACGTCATATCTCACCAAGACACATGCCAATTGTGGGTGTAATTACAGACATAATAAATCTATATTAATGTATTCCTTAAGTAAATTGGCCCTACCAAATATTAGTTATCACAAAAACTGTAGTTATATAATGATGTTTTTGTTTCCATTTTACTAATTTTACAAAGGATAATTTTGAAATAATTTCCTTGCCTATGTCATTAAAAGAGACATGTTTTAAGTATATATAGATATATAATTAAAAATGGCACAGATAATGATGTTTGCCTGACATTTTTCATTGTAAGACCCTGTTTTTTCAGTTGCTTATATCTTTTCCAAACTTAAAACATTTGGGCTGAAATTTTCTATGCCAGATGTTTACCTCAGGTTTAATTTTTATGGAAAATTTCAGCTTTAGGAGATTCAGATGCTTCTGAGAATGAGGTTAGGTGAAAATGTTTTGACCCATGTTAAAAAAAATCATACAACCTTTTCATTGAAAATCACTAGCACCTCCATACTTTGAAGCAGAGACTTGAAATTTAGCAGAGGGTGGTTGTTGTGCTATCAGGAATGTACACCTTTTGCCATCCCTGTAATAATTCATCCAAATTTGTATATGCTCAGCAGAGGTGCATTGGAGTTTGGCAGCTAAATTCTCTGAAGATTCTATCCGCACTGAGCATGCGCCATCCCCTCACAGCTCCGACATGCTGACCAAACTAAACACACAGCATCTCACAGAGTGCATTAACATACTCCATCCCAGGGATGCAGGGGGTGAGCAATTGCCCCTCCCAGCGGCTGGGGACACTGTGGTGCTAAGTGCCAAAACTGAGCGCAGGGAGACCGTGTCTGTTGGGCGCAAGCAGCAAAGAGGAGGAAACTACCTGATTTGAATTCAGAGTATGAGGAACCATCGAGGGGGAAGAGATGGAGGGTGAGAGGAACCTTGCATGAGCAACCTTAATTCAGGCATTTCCTAACCTGAGTCCTTGACTTTGCAATAATAATAATAATGTTCTAAACATATTTTATCTATTTATTCACATACATATAGCAGCTGTTCCCCTTCCCATTTTGTTTAGATTACAAATTAAAACATGTACACAGGTTCCATTGCTTCGTTATTAGGTCTGTTTGACTCCACATTATGGAACAGCTGATTTCCATGTGTAATAGTTGACTCTGTTCAAAATTTGAATACTCATTCAATGCACGTGATAACATTTAATTTGATCATATTGAATGTGGGGAAACAAAAAAACCCTATTTTTTACTTTCCATAAGTCAATCTAAATATAACAGATAAATATTCAATTTACCAACTCAATTTATTTTTGTATAGCAGCTATTATACCATCTTCACAAAATGTTTCAGACAGTTAAAAATGCAGAATTTTTCAAAAAATACTACATGACTAGAAAAACAAATTAGATATGAGAGAAAGGAAGGCTGAAGGTTGGGCAACAAATTTAAGAGAGAAGATACACTTTTTTTTGGTAGTATTTGAAACCAATGAGACTGTAATTCAGGGCTGGCGAAGGGATTGCATCAGATAGGGTGTAAGCAATATAGCTAAGAGAAAGCAGACAAAAGAGGATTCTAGCTGACCAATATAGGAAGTGACTACTTCAGAGAGAATGGATGGAGTGAGGCTGAGAGAGTAGCCAAAAACTAGTGGGTAGATTTTTAATTTTGGTCTTTAAGAAAATGCACCAATAATGTGAATAGATACTAAGGTAGTGTAGGCAAGCTTGAACATTGATTAAAAGCAGGGTTACTGTTTGTACACAGTGCAAAGAAATTGCAGTTATCTAGACAAGAGACAAGAGAGAACATGGGTGTGGGAAAATGGATGAAAATGCAGATAAAGTTAGATATTGTTAAGACTGAGGAGATAAGACTGAGCTGTGCATTGAGATGGTTGTAATCAGTGCATGGATTTCCCACAACTTCAGCAATGAATGCTAAAACCACATTTTACTTAGAATAAAAGGCATATATGTACAGTCACTTGAAATTTCCAAATGGCACAGTGGACTTGGAGGCCAGATCACTGTTTTTCGAGGAACCAACTGAACGGTCTTAGAGTCTGCAAGTTATCAGCATGGTGGCAACATCTTATGACTCTAAAGAGAAATTCTAATTAAGAGGATCAAGATTAGCAATATGTGAACCTCAAAAGGTTTGGATAAGCACTCAAAAACTCACATTGGCTAGAGATTCTGCTTCAATGTGAGGGAAAAATATGAGAACACCTTTTTTCTTTCTGTATTTCAGCACTTCAGCTTGACCTCGTGACCAGAACAAAGTGAAGAAGAGTGCAAAAATGAGAGACTCTGTGTGCTTATGTGACTGTGTGAGAGAGAGCTGAATTTAGCCAGATCTTTAAAATTTTACAAAGTTTCAGGTTAGGTCTTATTTTGGCCAGAACAGTTTGCTTCAAAATCAAGATTTTTTCAGATAATGGAAAATTTTAGTGTAGGTATCAACAGGTAGAAATTTAGGGGGGGAAAAGATTCTAGGGAGGAAGTCTAATTAGATAGGCAAAACATTTGACAAAGCAATGTATTAAACAGGAATAAACTTTCCAAGAGTGATCTTAAGTTTAATGGAAATATGATGCTTATAGTAAGATCACAAAGAGAACGTTGAGTTTGAGGAAGCAGCTATGAAAGAGGATTAGGAGCTGTGGAAGGAAAGTTGGCGATTACAAGGTCAAGAGTGCCACGGTGTTGAACTGGGCTAGTAGGAGTCTTTTGAAGGAAACAAGACATAAAAGTTGGATGGACAGTGTGACAGAGTGCAGTATGTCTGAGACAAATTATGAATTTTATCTTGTTCTATGTGTGGAAAAGTTGGATGTGGTGACTGCACAGGTCTGGACATGCCCAAAGCCAATCTATTGTATTGCATTCCAGACAGCTGCCCTTCCTGGGAAAGGTGTTTGACCCCTAGTTAAAGAACTAAATATTAAGAGTCTTCAAGACTGCAGTCTGGGGACACCAGATTTTATTGTGTCTCAACTACTGGCCAACCCCTCCACTGGAATTAATAGATATAGATCTCTCTCTCTCTCTCGATGAATATGTTTATGTTTTTATTTATTTTTATATATATAAATAAAAATAAATAAAAAACCTGGTGGTCTGTAGATTCTCAATTTAAGAACAATTTAAAGATTGAGGCCCGATTCTCAATTTTAGAACATCTTAAAGATGGAGGCCCCATTCAAGAGCAGCATTCTGCTCTGTGCAAGGGGCAGACCATCGGCGCATTTAAGGACTTGCAGAAGCAAGAGAGCAAGAGGCACTCAGCCCAGCTTGAATGCTACAAACCTCAGACTCACAGAAGGTACATCACAGGACTTCTGTTGTTTTCAAAGATCTGTTACTCTTGAGTGCTTCAAGAGTAAAGTCACTGCAGTTAAGAAGTTCCTTTGGTAAGCACCTTTCCTTCTTCACCTTGCTTTCCTGCCATGTTATCCCTGAAGGGGTTAAACTAGAAGCCCAGTATGCTCACAGCCTAGATGTAGCTCTGGGGCAAAAGTGTGTATAAGCAAGTGGGGAGTGGGGGGAGCTTGGGAGGACACAGAGACTGATTTTGGGGCTAGGGTGGCAGCACCCTATGTCCCAAGGAAGGGCGTCAGACAAGAGCCGCATGGCCCCAAAGCTAGAAACGGTGACTAGGCTCTACCCATACCCAGTTGGCTTTGAAGCATGTAGGAGCTAGCTACTGGGTCCACATGCAACAGACTGGTGACCATTCAGAGTGTATTGGGTCAGCTTGTAACAGACAGTATGTGAAAAAGCCATTTTCCATGCCAGCTCTTTCATTATTTCATCAACTCATCAAAATACATAGTCACACCCCAAGATTTCAGTGCGTTAGCCTAATTCAAGGTGATAGTCACAAGTGAATAATAATAGTCAAGTAGTTACTTTTGAAAATATAGAGAGGTTCACAACACCTCTTACTAGCTGATACTGTTTCACATGTCCACTGCTCCTGAAGATGATTTAGCTCCCCCCTCTCCAGGGGGTAATCTGTTTATTTAAATTAGACTTGCTTTTGTGTAATGTTTTACCTGTTTCCCTCTTTCAACTGTTATTTAATAGCTGAATAGGAAGGGGGTGTATATACATGGGACTCTGCTCACTCCAACCTTCCTTCCCTCAAATTCAACTCTACCCTTAAGCAGAAAAATAAGTAGGATCAGGATGCAAGGGATGTGCTGTCACTTATCGACATGAAAGCAGCTCAGTGGAAAGAAAAGGCCATTTGAAAACATCTCCTGGACACATCTGAGCAGTAGCACTTTTTATCTGTACTTGTACTTTTGACAAGCTTGTACTACTGACTGAGCAGCCAAGTGGGCTGGAGGGCAGAGGAGGAATTCTTGCACACTCCCTTTCCCCTCTGCCCATTCCAGCTATGACACGTGACTGAATCATAGTGGAAGAAGAAGAATGTTTTACAAATGTATGAATAATTTGGTAAACAAATTACACTTTGGAGGCTGGGCTAAACCTCCCTTAAAAGCAGGAGAAGCAGTGGAAGGGAAACAGGAATTCAGGATTTGCCAGACTGGAGCAGACAAGTGATCCATGCACTCCAGTAGCCTGTCTGAAATGAGTTAAGGTGAGAACCTTAAGTAGCAATGTCTGAAATGGGCTATGGACAGGGAGTTCTTAGAGCTGTAGCATATCAGAGTGCAGGGATTTGCACAGTTTATTATTATTGAGAAATATCCACACTGGTGTTGGTCAGTTCAATATATGAACAGCAACTCTAAACCCAGGCTGGATGCAACAATTCTACTTCTGTCTGCATTTCCATTTAACATTTCTTTTAGTGACACCTCCCTTTTTGTTTTTTAAAACAAATTTGTGGTTAATGGCTTTTTAAAATATACCTATCTTTATATTTTTTCTAATTTACAGAAGTACTTTAAGAAATGGTTATAATGTCCCCGATGCAGGATAGAGCCCATACTTAGTATGCAGGGTGCTGACCACCGTGGCCCAATAGTCTTATTGGCTTCAAGGGGGTTATTCACATGCTTAAATACAAACACATACTTAAATGCTTTGCTGGATTGGGCCAGGATGCTCAGCATCTTACACGGTGGAGTCCTATATGACCAGAGTGTGAACCTGTGATATAATAACCATATACAGTTCACTTTCTTATTTGAATGTAGCTTACTTACATCTTTCAGGAGCCTGGTCAATATGGTCTGGACAAAGGAGGGAGAAGTTACTGAAATCCTGAAAGGTGCCTGCTCCAGCAGCACAGGGGTAATGGTACATCTGGGTACATTTCTCTTCACAGCATTTGATAGTGGCTCCAAGGTGCTTACAATATGCACATCGCTGAAAAAGAGACATGCAGTTCTTTTTATGATGAAACTGAATACAAAAACTACAGTTCACAGAAGAAATCCCTTCTTTGCACAAATCAGAAAATCCATTCTCGTGTCAGCCACTGAGGTCCAGCCAGTGCTAAAGGTCTTAGTCACAGAAGCAATATTACAACCACGTATCTACTCTATAGATTTTCACTTTGCAAAGATGGCTGACAGCTTGGAATTTGGTGCTCCCTCATGGTCATTCTGGCTAAAGTTTTTTTGAGCTGGATTTTCAAGAGTACACAGAGTTGCTTAACTCTACTAGTGAATAGTAGAACTCCCACTGACTTCATTGGAAGCAGAGCTAGGGCAATGCTGAGAACTGTGGAAAGTCCCAACCCTTAACTATAACCTGCTTAACCTTCTGAGGTGCATTATGTGGCAATCCCCTAAAATGGCAAACACCAACATACAATCAAAATCTATCCTCATTATTTACTGCTGTCCATATAAACAGACTGTCATTAGCTGCAAGAACCATTTGCTTCACATGAATAAATCTGCTCTGGTAACTTCAAACTTTTTGATGGTGGAACGTATTTCCTTTACTTTTTATCTATTGTCTAATTTTAGCTATTCCTTTTGTAAAGAGGCCTGTAAAATAATCCAGAATAGTGCATGCAGAGGCTATGCGTGTTGGTACGGGCTGTTACTAGAAATGGTATAATTCTGATATTGTGAAATAAGTGTACATTAGAATATGAAAATATGTGAAAGTACACAGGAAGTATCATGTTCTACTTCCGGGGTTGGCAACCTTTCAGAAGTGGTGTGCAGAGTCTTCATTTATTCACTCTAATTTACGGTTTCGCGTGCCAGTAATACATTTTAACGTTTTTAGAAGGTCTCTTTCTATAAGTCTATAATATATAACTAAACTATTGTTGTATGTAAAGTAAATAAGATTTTAAAATGTTTAAGAAGCTTCATTTAAAATTAAATTAAAATGCAGAGTCCCCCGGACCAGTGGCCAGGACCCGGGCAGTGAGAGTGCCACTGAAAATCCGCTCGCGTGCTGCCTTTGGCACGCATGCCATAGGTTGCCTACCCCTGTTCTACTTAAAAGATCAAGACATTATACATAGTATGGAGTGACCCTGTGTGGCAGAGTGATGGATTAGATGACCTAGTATCTCTTTCCCACCTTTAATTACTGTGATTCTGTGATACACGAGTTCAGGCAACAGATATACTTTACACAGAATCAGTACTGTTATCATTAATGATCACATTTGTATATGTGAAAAGAGAATTCCTCATGCGGAACTAACAAACAATATGCCATAGGGCCACCCCACCTGGAGTTCGTTCTGCATGACAGGTGCACCTGTCTTTGTTTCCCTTTCAGAGTCCCCTGAAACAGTCCAAACAGCTTTTCTCAGTGCCAATAGTCTTGTGGGGCTAAGTTGTTACCTAAGAAAGCCCCCGCAAGCACACAAGTCTCAATACCGTAGTGCAGACAACACATCAAATGCAGTCCTGGCGCTCTCACCACACCCAGCTCTCCAGCACCGCCCTGGCTCCCCAGCATAGTCCTCTCACGTCTCTCTGCCAGGACAATGACCCCAGCCCTTCCTACTGGAGTGCACTCCCACTCTTCCCAGCGGAAACCCCCACAGCCTCTCTGCTGGGATCATCCTTGCCATGGGAGCAGGCCTCACTCCCCCTGGATCTCTCTCAGTTCTGGGTCCAGCTTTCTGGCCCTGGAGATATCAGCAGGTAAGCTCATCCTGCCTTCAGCCCTCGCTCTCTGGCTGGGGGACACCAGCCAGCAAATCCCTCTTGCTGCTCTCTTCCCTTCAGTCTTCTCCCAGGAATCACATTCTGCTTCCTTCTGGGACTCCTCCAGTCCCTTGGTTTCTGGCAGCTCTCACCTGCTTTTCCTGACTAAACCAGTCTGCTCTGACTCATTGGGACCTGCCCTCTCAAGTCTCTCCCTGATCTTCTATAGTCCCCTGGTGCTGACCCACCCTCTTAACTGGCCAAATGGGAGCATCTGTTCTGGTACAGGGGAGATGGATTTACTTCGTTCACAGAGGCCAGCCGCTCTGCGACACAATCTCTTTATTCAAGGGGGAATAAATTCCATCATCTATCTCACCCACACCTTTCTGATTTAGTTCATCAATCCTTTAACTTCTTGGATCTCATTACAGTCCCCGAAGCACTGTAACATGCTTTTGCACTTTTTCTCCAAGGCAATAATATTTTTTTGGGTAACATACGGCACTATAGAAAATTTGGAATAAACTGATGAAAAATAGGTCTATAACAAAGCATATAAAGTGTAAAGTACCAGGTGAGCTAATCTTTCATTATAGAAATATACTCTTTAGGAATACTGGCATATTAGAGTACAAGAGCAACAACTGACACAAAGGAACATGTACTCCAATACTATATTTGCTTAATTCTTTAGAACATAGAAAATGTACATTACCTTAATTCTCCAACATTTCACGAGTCAGACACAAGACATAAATAATGCTCTTACAAACTCCTGGCAACTGACAACTGATTTTAAGGCAAAGAGTTTGTAAGGATAGATGTCTAAGTTAATTGCTACACAGACATTCTTAAAGTCAGACCAATCCACATCCTCAGAGAAACAACCATCTGCACTGCCAACTGAAGGTATAGTGATGGGGGGAAATGGCTATTTCATTTGCAATATAAAAGAGAAACTGTCAGGTCTACAAAAGAAGCCAGTTGATTGGGGGTAGCTATTGCCAAGTATTTTGTGCAGCAAGGCTAAAAAAAAAAAAAAGAGAATGCCAACATAATGTACAGAGAAGAAAGGTTTTACAACCCTTACTGAAGACAGGTCCCATGACCTCTTGTTCAGCACTCAAAATTGATATGAATAAGAGGGGTTTCCTTGCAAAAAGTTTACAGAGCTGAGCTCTGGGTGCCACAAGGCTGGCTAGCAAAGATGCATTTGTATTGTCATTGCTTTACAACTCTGCTCTAAAAATGTCCTTGCCATTGAAATATACAGCTCCAGATATGGGAAGACATGGCATACAAGAGGTTAAGAGTCCTGTAGGGTAGAATGCATAGTGGATACCTACAACAGTACATTAAGGTGATAGGCGATATTGTGAGCATGCACAGATGAGTTTTAATATCTACTAGACTTCCAATCTCTACCTATGTATGTTACTAATGTCTCTGACTAGTAAGACTATAACTATTATAAGGTTGAAAACACTGTGACAAAGTCACTTTTAGAGACCATACATTCACTGAATATATGATCTAGGATGCTGTATTACGGGTAAATGATGGGACTGAATGTGAGGTTCTGAAACCATGCAGCCTACAATCTGAAGCTTCGCAAACTGCAGCTGCATGGTTCTGTTAAACTACCACACAACCAGTGGCATAATTTCATATCCAACATTCAAACTGTACAGATTAAGAATGCATGCAAGAGAGGTTTGGTAGGATTAACCCTTAGAACATTAAAATTTTCCAGCCAGATTAACCCTTTAGACGATGTCCATAGATATCTCTCATGTCAGCCTGGTGGTGGGGTGATGGAGGGAGTGTGTGTGTGTGTGTGTGTGTGAGATAAATGAATGAGATGAATGAAAACATTCAAAGATTCAAAAGTTACTCAAAATGTTGAATTATCGAGTTGTAATAAATACCAGTGTTAATGACATTTAAGGCCTCAAGTTTCTGCTTTAAAATAGCCATCCAAAAAGGCACATAACGAATGATAAAAGTAGATTTAGAGTGCATCCTTCTCCAAATTTTATGCTGATTCCTGAGATGTCAGTTAGTGGATTCCTTATCACTTTTCACAAAAGAATGGAAAATAGGATAAGAAGAGAAGAGCAAGATCTAAATAACTCTGAGAAGTACTGAAAAATGCCGAAAACATGCTGATTTACAGCATCACATAAAGAAACTGGGGAGGGGGGGAGAGGAAGGGAGATGGAAGCCCTAATTACATTTAATTGAACCCTTCAAACCCATCTGCTAAAACTACATTAGCAATGAAAAGCATTTGGCAGCTACGCAAACACACACTTTATAAACAAGGTGGCATATATCATCTGAACCATATAAAAAATGAAGAATATCAACATTTATTGAATTGATAAGATGAAGAGATAAAGCAGTCAGAAGTAATAAATCCTCACGGGGAGTTTTTGCCATAGCTGCTGACTAGAAAACGTACTTTTCCAGCAACAGAAGCCAACACTTCTCTGAAATTGGACTACAAGTTATGGCCAAGAACAAGTATGTAGTTATTGTAACTGACTGACTTTTGTGAGGGAAGTCTTCAAAAATAATGAATTAGGTGTTTTTAATGCTGTGATACATAAAAGCTCCCAGAACCAATGTTACTTTGGTTTTTTACTGCAAAAATATTTCATCAGGTCATTAGGAAAAAATCAAATTATCAAGACAGTACAAGTGTCTTTTTCCATCACCACACTGTACATTCAAAGATAATAAGAGACTAAAGGAAGGTATAGAGTTTTCAAGATGACCAACAATGGGTAGATGAAATTACATCAGAGTCTCAGGAACTGTGCGTCTTGAACCCTGGTCCACAGAGCTATTTGGAGCTAGCTGGTTCCAACCTGCCACCAGGAACCTGCTAACTGTTGTCAGAATAGGAGCTGATCTCAGACAAAGGACCTCAGTCCTGGGAGCTGATTGGCAGAATGCTGAAGGTCTTGATTGGTACACAGCTCCTATTTAAACCTAGCAAAGGAACAGGAAGTCATCCATGCAACTGGATCCACCATGCTCTGGACTGTATGCCTTTTGCTTCCTGCTCCCGCTACCCGGGCTTGACTTCTTGGTATCCCAACTTGGTCTCACTCTGATTACCGAGCCACGGTTCTGCTGTCAAGTTCATCTCCTGGTAACCTGACCCCTGCCTGCATCCTGACACTCGGACTTTTGGTTTGCCTTCTGGTCTGTCTTGGACTCCTGATATCTGAC